TTCCCCCATATCTTCTTTGTGAGTGTATGTATATATAGAGAGAGAAGATGTCTATATCCATTTCTATCTTATCTATCATCTATCTATCTATCTATCTACCTACCTACCGATCGATGTAGTCGGAGACAATACTGTTTGTACTAAAGACTGCTGTATTTTCAAATAGAACTTCCAGCCCCTTTGCGTTGACTTTGCTGTTTATTAACTGTGTGACTTGAGGCAAGGCATTTCTTATCATTGAGCCTCAGTATCCCTCTCTGTAAAATGGACATATTTCCTGCTTAGTCTCCCTCTCAGGACTATTAGGGGAAAAATGCTTTGTGGTCAATGGCCAATCTTTTGTTCTCTGCCTCAGAGATAAACATAACCTTTGGGTCAGATGGAATCTCTGAGGTCATCTTGTCTAAACATACTACAACAGGAATCCTCCTGAAAAGTGGTTATCCAGCCTTCAGTTGAAGGCCTGTTTGTATATTGTCTTTTGCATTAGAATGTGAGCTCCCTGAGGTCAGGGACTTAGTTTTTGCCTTTTTCTGTATCCTCAGTGCTTAGCACAGTGCCTGGCATATAGTAGGTGCTTAATAAATGCTTGTTAATGATACTAATGACTTCCAGTATACTAACAGCCTAAGGAAGACAATTCCTTTTTTGGACAGCTCTTATTGGTAGGAAATTTTTCCTTAAATTAAGCTTAAATCAATCTTCCTGCAACTTCCACCTGTTGCTACTAATTCCACATGTATTTATTCTTAAGCGAGCTTTGTATGCATCATCTCTTTGAGGCTTGCGGCCTGATTTTCTTTCTGCCCACTGCCTGATTTCGGTTTCCTGGGGTGCAGGGCTGCAGCAGGGCTCTAGGCCAGCTGTTGACAGTTGACGCTCTCTCATATCGAGTTTCTGCTCACGACCTTCTCCCCGCTCCGTCACTTCTTCCCCCTTTCCCCAGGGATCAGCTCTCCTTTTGTCGATTGTCCGGCAGCCAGCCCCCTGACTCAGAATCACGCGCTTCTGCGGCTGTTTGCCTCCGTATGTAATGGGGGCAGCGCCCCAACAACAGAGCCGTTGTTCTCCGGCAGGGTGAGAACCCGAGTCATAGCTCTCTTTCTGTGTCTCTGGTGTTTGGGTTCTGTGCGATGTGTTGCCCATCTTGCCCTCACTACCTCCTAGTATATCCACCTCTCAGGGAGGAGGGGATTGAGCTAGGATGCTTCAGTTTGCAGCCTCGCTCCTGCCTAGGTAGAAGAGGACGGAGAGAGGCTTTGGTCATTGTGGGAACCGAAGACGGGGGAGTTTCAATCATTTGAGGAAGAAAATGGGGGAGGGGGAAAATAGCTTTGGTACCCTAGCAACATGACTCCTAGCTCCTAGCAACCAAGACCCTAGCTCCTAGCAACCAAGACCTAGCCTTTAGCAATCAAGAACTCACTCCCTAGCAACCAAACTCCCAGCTTCTGGAAACAAGGTCCCCTGCTCTAGGGTCTGGGCTCCCCAGCCTAGCCTCTGGCCAGTCCCAGAGTAGCATCTGGTAGAAAAGAAAGCGCTCAGCCACGAGAGGGGTGTGTGACGGAGGGAAAGGAGGCGGGGGTGGGGTGGGGAGAGAGGATCTGTGCCCCGCTATATTCTGGGAAGCCAGCTCTCAACTGAAGCCACTTGGGGACCCCGCCGAGGACTTCCATCTTCTCCCCACCCCTTCACAAATATTCGTCGCGCACAGCATGATGGGAATTGTAGTCTTTTCTGCAGTCTCCCTCACACCCCACCCCCCCACCCCCCGCCTCACTCAGTGCCCCGCCTCCCGTGGCGGAGCAGAGCACGCAGGGAATTGGAATGATTGAGGGCGGGATTGAGGCGGGCGCGCAGCCTGCTGGGACTTGTAGGCGGAGCGGGGGCGGTGTGGATGCGCACGCAGCCGCGGCAGGCGGAAGTGGGTCGCTAAGGAGGCGGAGAAGCCGCCCGCCCGCCCGCCCCGGGAGCTCCGCCGCCCCTGCCTCCGCCTCTGCCGCCTCCGCCGCCTCTCGCCGCCGCTGACAGGTCCCGCGGCCTCTGGGCGGTGAGCGAGCGAGCGGGCGGGCGGGGCCCGGGCCAGGCCGGGAGCGGGGAGAGCGCCGCCCCGCGCCCCGGGGCTGCAGGATGAAGGGGCCGAGCCCGAGCCGGGGGCGCCGGGCCCAGGAGGCGGCACCATGACCGGGGAGAAGAAGAAGAAGAAGCGGCTCAACCGCAGCGTGCTGCTGGCCAAGAAGATCATCACCAAGGACGGAGGCGCCGTGAGTGCGCGGCTGGCCCCCGCTGCCCCTGCCATGCCCCCGGGGTGCCCCTGGTCCCCTACCCTGCCAGGCCCCTGGGGTGCCTGCCTCCCAGGCAGGCCCCCGGGGTGCACCTGGGCCCCTTCCCTGCCGGGTCCCTAGGGTACCTGCCTCTCAGCCAGGCCCCTGGGGTGCCCCTGGGCTCCTTCCCTGCCAAGTCCCTGGGGTGCTTCCAGACCCTGCCAGGCCCCTGGGGTGCCCCTGGGCCCCTTCCCTGCCAGGTCCCTGGGGTGCCCCCAGACCCTGCCAGGTCCCTGAGGTTGCCCCCAGATCCTGCCAGGCCCCTGGGCCCTTTCCCTACCAAGCCCCAGGGTAGCCTGCCTCCCAGGCCTCTGGGGTGCCCCCTGACCCTGCCAGGCCCCTGGGGTGTCCCTTGACCCTGCCAGGCCCCTGTGGTGCCCTTACTACCTCCTAGTATATCCATCTCTCAGCCCAGGCCCAGCCCCCCAGGGGTGACCACAGCCCAGGCCCAACCTCTACTATGCCCTCACCAGTTCCTAGTCCAGGCCTGGCCAGGCCCATCCCCTTCTTTGCCATCCCCCTTCCAGGGGGGTGCCCCTCTCCCAGCATAGGCCCTGCTAGACCTCTGGTATGCTCCAGTTCATGCCAAGCCCAACTTCTGTTGTGCCTTCTTACCCCTAGCCCTGCCAGGCCTCTGGACTCCCCCCAGCCCCAGTCTCTTATAGCTCTGTACCCATTCCTCTAATGTCCCCCTTCATCTCCTGCCCTGCCATAACTCCCCATTCTTTCACCTAGGCTACCAGGCCTCAGATCATCTCCCCTGTAGGCCCTGTTCCTCTTAGTCTTGGCCCAACCCCACTCTTCCATTGCTCTCCATCAGCCTTTACATAGGCTTTCATTATTTATCTCTAGTATAGTGAGTCAACCAGCATTTATTAAACACCTGCTGTCTTCTCGGCACTGTTCTAAGCACTGGGGATACCAAAAAGGGCAAAAAATAATTCCCCTCAGCACTAGTTTCAGTGGCAAGCAGTTACCCACCCATTCTTCAGCCCCCAGCCTGCACTGCCATCTCCCAGCACCCTCGAGATCCCAGTTGGTACCTATTTAGTGCAAGCCAGGATCTAACCTTCTTCTCCCTCAATAAAACCCGTCCCACACACATCCCCAGCCTTGGCTCTCAATAATCTTCCATTGTGCCTTGCCCTGGGCCATCCTACCTCACTGCTTCCCCATCTTTCTGTTCAAATCTGACCCTAGGGTCATTTTTCCCTTTCATTTACTCAGCCTGGTCCCAGATGTGCTCACCTCAGATCCAATCTTGGGCCATGGCTTCTTAGTCACATGCCATTTCCCCAGTCCTGGTCTATGTTCTACCTGTCCTATCCCTTGTACGTTGACCAACCCAATTCTTCCTGCTCCCCTGCTAGACTTTTTAGACCTCATTGTTCCTATTCCTTCTCCATACACTACCAACTCCTGTCCCCAGTCACTCTTCACTTTTTCCATCTATGCACACCCAGTATGTCCAACCCCTACTTATTCCCCTTCCCCATAGCATTCTACTAAATCCGCTTCCTACCTGTTTTCCCATGTTGTCCCCACTGTCACACTGTCCTCACGTCCTTCCCATTCTGCCTCCTACAAACACACACAGATATACCATTCTTTCTTTCTTCTGGTCCCGTTCCCCCTGCCACTGTCTCTCTGCCACCTCCATCGCAGTCTTACCTCCTCCTGCCCTTATTCTCCTCTTCCAGACACATAGACATTCCCTTTTTACTCCTTCTTTCCCCTATGCCCTTCTACATTTTCTATGCCTCCTTCTCTCTTCCTGCTCTTAGTCCCTTTCCTATACTGTACAAATTGCCCCATCCAAGCTAACTTCCCTCTTTCTATCCCCCCCAATTCCTCTTGCCTTTGTTACCTTCTTAAACAGCACCCTCCCTCTTGTCCTTTCTCTTCTCCCTTCTGTCTTTGTCCTCTTTCCCCTCAGTCCCTGACTTCTCCCTAATTTCTTGCCCTTCCAACACTGGCTCCCAGAAGCTGCCACTCCTTCTCACTTATGGAGAAAGGCAACCTGATATATTGGAGAGGGGGTTGAAGTTCCAACAACTAGATTTTCTGGTGCTGGCTCTGCCTCTGACTTGTATGACCTTGTACTGTTAGATAAAGCTTTCCAGTCACTCAAAGAAATTCTTGTACCCTGCCACCCACACCACTAACTCCCCATCTTTATAACTCTGCTTCCTGACTATGTGCTTCTTTTCCACCCTAGTAAAACTGTCCAATTCTAATGATTCTTTCATGAACTTCAGCAGACCATACTTTGATCACCCTTGGTTTGTCTACTTCCATCTTTAATCTTCCTTGGTGTCTTTCCTCCAATCTGCCTACATCAAGATACTCGAAATATGGCTACAGCATTCGTACTGTCAGCCCCAGTGCTTTGTCCAGGTTAGGGAACCATCTATAAGGTGGATGGGCCCAAGGCCTTCCTGGATGGGCCTGTGTCCCTAAAGGCATCCGTATAAGGGTCTGGACATGTGTAGGAAGAAAACCTAAATTCTGTATTCTGTGAGAATCACAGGCATGGGCCACACTTCAAAGTACAGCTCAGAGTTGTAATTCACTTCAACCATTTGGTTTTGTTAAAGTTCAATATCTTATATTAAATGGATATATTCAGCCTGAGCCTTCCCCCATGTCCTGTCCTTAATCACCAATCAAGGCAATGCCTCAAAGGTCCTGAGATTGTCCTGGATGTTTGTTTTCAATTTAATTTCACTTGACTCTGTCTGCTGTCAAGTAGAGAGCTGGGAATTGCTTTCCAGCATCCTTTGGGAACTGAAACTAGCAGTCATTTTCCCAGAGGAGAAGCAATGAATGGAACCACGAAACCTAGTACTTGGTTCTGTTACCATGGGAGAGAAATGAAATTTTGTGACATGATGTTTAGGTCACTTGAGACTATGGGGTCTCTGGATGGGCCAAGGTGAGGCTAAAATTCATTGTTGTCAAGTAGTCTGATGGAGGGACTGGGGCTGCCTCCATCTTTCTTTCTGATTGCCTTCATTTCAGTATTGGAATTCCCATTGACTGAGTCTTCAGTATCAAGAATCCTAAGTCTTGGGGGTCAGCTTCAGTGACTGCAGACGCTAAGCAAGGGTAAACACTCTCCAGAGATGTGTTCTTGTATGTTCCAAGGCAGGAATATACATCATGATTTTTTCTTAGCGTATGGGACCAAGATTATGAAGAGGGCAGTGCCTATTGGAATCTCAGTAGAGGGGTTGTTAAGTTCATCAGATCCAGCAAACTCCAGGCCAGTGTGTTAACTCCCCTCAACCATATCCTAAGTGCTCCTCTGACTTTTGTTCAGATACCTTCAGCGATGGCACACTCACAACCACACAAGGCAGCCTGTTCCATTTTTGTACGGGTCTGATTGTTAGAAAAGATTTTCCTTTATGTGTACTTTAAATCCACTTCCCAGGAACTTTCGTCTCTGTTGGTCTTTGTTCTTCCCTGTGGGGCTGCACAGAACAAATCTTCTCTCTCTGCCCCTGATAGCTTTTTAGATATTTGGAGATAGTGATTATGTCCCTTTCCCAAAATCTTCTCTTGCCTAGTAAAGCAGTTGGGGTTAAGTGACTTGCCCAGGGTCACACAGCTAGTGAGTGTCATGTGTCTGAGGTTGGATTTGAGCCCAGGACCTCCTGACTCCAAGGCTGGGGCTCTATCCACTGCGCCACCCAGCTGCCCCCATCCCCACTTATTTCAGCTGTCCCTCATATAACAAGGTTTTGAGTCCCTTCATTCCATTCCACTGCCTTCTTCTGGATATGTTACAGTTTGTCAGTGTATATCCTAAAAACACGTCCCGAGAAGTGGACACAGTACCCCTTATGTGGTCTGACTAGGACAGAAGACAATAGGACTATCACCTCCCAGCTTCCTGACCCTGTAATTTTCATTGAGTAAGGTCAAGTTGGCTTTTTCAGAAGCACATCACCATTGTGTTGTTCAATTATATTGAACCTGAAGGCAAAAAATCTTAGGTCTTTTCCATATGAACTGCTACCTAGTCATAAACATTCCTCCCTGATCCTATGCTTGTGTGGTTGATTTTTTTGGTGCTTATCTAACAAAACATTTATCCCGATTAAATTTCATTTTGTTTGATTTGGCTATCCTTCCAGTCTGTTGGGATTTTTTTTTTCTTGGAGCAGAAACTGTTGCCCAATAATTTCTTAGCCTTTCTAGTTTACCTTCCATCCATATCATTGCATGATTCACTTTGTAATCTGGATGGGCTTGTCTCAAGGACTTTGAGTTTCCATTTCACTGGTTCTACCTTTTACGGTTGTTAGCCTCTGATTTCTGTGTTTTTCTTCATCCCCTCAAGCTCTTCAGACATCCCTTCCAAGGGAACCTTAGATTAGAGAGGAACAAGGCTAATATGGGGTCAAATAAAGGACTAGAGGATGAAGACTCAGGTTTTTCTGAACTGGTGGTACATATACTTCATGCTAACTCAGCCTTGCAGATAAACCTTCGTTTACTTGCCCAGGGCTCTTTATACTGGATAGAAAGGGAAGGGTATTCTGCTTGAATAGAAAGAGTGCTGAGCTGAGTTAAGAGATCTGGCCTCTAGTCCCAGCTCTGCTACTAATTCTCTTGTGACTTGGAGGCAAGGATTTTTCCCACTATGGGCCTGTTTTCTTGTCCACAAAGTGAAGGGATTGGACTAAATTATATGTCAGAGGGCCTTTCCAGCCCTGACGTTCTCTAACTATATCATGTCAATCATTTGAGAATTTTTTTTTTAGCCTTATTGCTGGGTGCTGTGTGGAACATAGATTGGGTTCTTTGACTTCTGAACTGAACAGACCTGAAATTCTGTGGAAATAGAAGGGATGGGACCCCTGCCCTGAGCAAGCATCCACTCTAACTGAGGTCTCAGAGATGAGGCTAAGGAATAAAACAATTAGAGAACAGTACAAAGTAGTATATGAGTAAATGCTAAATTAATTATCACAAGTAGTATACACTGCTAGTAGTGTACACGACCAACGTCAGTTGGTTTGACTGAATTATTTTCTTGTTACAAGAGGAGACTGACTGGGATCTCCCAGAAGTAACTGATATAAATGCAGACAGCATCACTAAAGAAAGAAAGAAAAGTAAATTAATAGCCCCAGAAGTGCCATAGGAATTCATTTCTAGAGAAGAAACTTTACCGACTTGTATGCAAGTCTGTTAATTCCAAGAGTTATTGTTAGGACTGTTGGGGAGGCCTCCTGGGGGATGTTAAATCATTAGGGTCACATCAGTGGCATTATCTGTTCAGAGAAAGTTGTTTTGATCATTGTATTTAACTGAAGGTGAAACAGACTTCCTTATTTACTCTGGAAACAAGTCAGTCTTGGAGAAGAGCATTGGAAGAGTAGCCTTTGTAAAAATGGTCCGACCTGTTAGCTCCCTGGCTCGTTCCTCACTGGAAACTGAAGTTTAGGGGGAGGCAGGCCATTAGTAACTCCAGAGTTACTGAAGGGCCCTAACAGGTTGGTTCTTAAATGCAAACAATCATCAACAAAAACAAATAACCAAATAAATGTACGAAATAAGGAATAAATGCTTATACATAAACATTATGCCCTGTATTTTAACAGAGTAGAATCAAACAGTTTAACAAATAAAACATACCTTTGTTTGGGAGCGTCTCCCTTTCTGAATCACTCTGAAGCTCTGTTGCCTTTGGCTGTGTTGTCTTTTTTCTGTGTAGTCATCATCAATGTCCATTGGAGGATATTTTTCTCAGTCAAAAGGAGGTAGCCCCAGCACAGACACTGATAACCACTTTTTGGTTCTCGTTATTCATTGTTTGGGGAGTAGGGAGCTACCAAGTTTAGAGAAAACACTGCACCTATCTTGGAGGATCTTATGGCCTAGTAGTTACTTGTGTTTCTTCAAAAATCATCTTGGGGCCCCCCCTTACATGAAGCCTTCTCTTGTCTCCCTGGCTCAAAGTGATCTTTTCCTCAAATTTTGTAATAGAACTTTGGGTCCCTGTTTCCTCTTCTATAAATCGAAGGGGGTGAATGGGTGACCTTTAAAAGCCCTGCAGAGTCTCACTCTATGCTTCTTTGCCTCTTACTGCGTTCTCCCATCTTGTGTGTGTACATATTGTACACCCTGCTATGAGTAAATTTTCAGAGGGAAAGTGGGGATTAGATTGTCTCCGATCTTTCTCTTATCAGCACACCCAGCACAGATCCTCACACGTAGTAGACCCTTAATAAATGTTTAATTGAACAACTGGAGATGTTTTATCAAATGGGAGAGCAAGTATCTCAAAAGTTCCCATCTTACTTGGTGGCTATTTGAACAGTAACAAAGAAAAACATGAGTACAAGCCAGGCTAATTAGATAGAAAAACAAGCATTGAGAAGCCAGAGATTGATCAGAATGTTAATGTCCTTTGAGAAAGTGCTTTGAGAGGAGTAGATGGGTATAGGTGATCTTGGGGGGGACTTAGGTGTTTCAGCCCTTTTCCCACTCCTTTTTAAAATTAACTCCTGGAAGAATATCTGGGAAGGAAGAGTCAACTTGGCAGCTGACAGAATTATGGAATATTAGAGCTGGGAAAAACCTGAAAGAAGATCTTGTTTAGCCACCTTATTTTTTAGAGGGGCAAACCGAGCCCTGGAGAAGAGGTCACAGGGTCACACGAGGAGTTAGCCCAGATGGACTGGAATCTGGGGCTCGCTCCACTCCACTGCTCTCCAAGAATAGTTAAAAATCTGGAGATGGATATTGTCCAACTGGGAGGAAGGCTTTGCTGTCGCCGTCGTAGGCATATTCTAATGAGGACTGATAAAACAGGCTTGACCACTCCACTTAAAATGTAGATGAGTGCCTGGGCACTGAATTGGCGTACTGCAGTCCACTCCCCTCTCTGCCACTTGTCTCAGCTGGAGAGATGGCACTAGCCACAGTGCCCTGCTACTGACCTGGAGCTTCTGGAACCTGGCATTTGTGCTTTGCCTGGGAAAAGGATCTTGGCTTTTTATTTTTATTCTTTTTCCCCTTCCCTAGACTGGTTGGAAAGAACAAAACGTGGATTACCCAGGGTTGGCTGGAGCAATACTACTGAAGAGCCCAGAGCCCGTGTGGTGGCCCCAAGAAGCAAGCTGACTCTCAGTTGGGGGGGGGGGAATCTCACCTCTTTGATCTGGGTGGCCTTTCAGGGAAAGAATGAAGCTCTTTGAGGTCCACCAGGGTATCAGACTGGAGGGGTGGGGACTGGGGAAGGCTTAATGGCTTTGTGTCAACTTTCAGTCCTTTGATGAAATCATTGGTTTTTGGCTATTCCTAAATCAAACATTATCAGGCCTTTCTTGTTCTGAGGCCCACTCTACTACCTTTTCTAAGTTGAGGATACTGGCCAAGAACAAGGGATTTCCATTTCAGACTGGCCCTGGCATTCCCCAGTTTGAATCTGATGTTTCTAAAACTTCTTGGCCTGGGTACTCTTGGCCCAGTTGTACCCTCATGATTAGAGTAACATTTGAATCCCCAAATTGGGTGACATCTTAGCCTTCCAGCCTTCAGAGGACATCCAGATCATCTATGTAGGCTCTAACTGTGCTAGCCAAGGCCAGCTGCACCCAGGATTCTAGCCAATGAGAGCCAAGTTTGTGTGCCACCTCTAAAGGAATGGGCTGTCATGCCTGATCCAGGGGTCCAGGCTGTGCCAACTACCACAGTTACACTGAAGGGGACATAGATTGCTCAGGCTTCGGGAGCCTTTGAACCTGTGACTTTATTGATATAGCCTGGCTAAACACTTGGGGCCTTGGAACCAGAGGGGTAGTAGCCTGAGAGATGTTTACACTTGGCTTTTCAGAGCAAACAAAGGCCTTCCAAGTTCTTGATTTAGTGAGATCTGTTTAATCAACCCCCCCCTTTCTTCCCTTCCCCCAGGCTGATTCCCTTGTTCTCAACCTTTCGTCCACTTACCAGCCAGCCATGTTGTTTTTCAGCGACAGGGGATTGGTGAGCCTAGTGTCTACCATGCCGTGGTGGTGATCTTCCTCGAGTTCTTTGCCTGGGGCCTGCTCACGACCCCCATGTTAACGGTGAGTATTGATTACCCCCTTTTGGCCCCAGGACCTGGAGGGTAAAGATAGCTTGGCTGAGGATTGATTCCCAGGAGAAGCTGGGAAAATTCCCATAAATCCAAGCAGTGAAGTAGATGGTCCAGAGCTCAGGCTATTGCTGTCCCTCTCTTTCTGGAGAAAGCATCCATCTTTGGTCACTAAGAAGTTTGGGAGTCTACTTCCATCTCTAAGAAGATGGCGATTTCCCTGAAATACGGAAGCCAGAAATTGACCTCAGTCTAGTAGCCTGGTAGAAAGAACGGTGTGGCCATTTTGTCAATGAGGAACTGAGTAAGCAGAGTTTGTAGATGACAAACTTGGGGCGAGGCTCACCTCACCCTCTGTCCAGCCACGCAGATCCCAGCTCCCCAGGGAATGGAACATTGTGTCTTTGTTGCCTAGGTTAGGACAAGCTGTAAGAACACTGTCCCCTCAGGAAACCAGAGGAATGTAGGCAGAATGGAATGAACCAGCCTGAGACTGGGGCCATGGTCTGACCAGGGGGATGTAACAAATCCTCCCAGCCACCTCAGTCTCAAGGAGCACAGCGAAGGTCGCGCTTGCCACATACTAGGGGACTGGATTAGGTCTGGAGGCCGTTTCATTCCTTTTCCTTATTCACTTCCTCGTGGGTACATGCTTTGTCTCCTTGACCAGATTATGAAAGTTGGTCTGTGTCATATCCAAAGGCCCTATGCCTTTGGACAAGTAACTTCTATGGGCTGAGACTCAGTTTTCTCATCTATAAAATGGGGAGGATAAAACTTAGGTTTATTCCCTCTTGAATGTGTTATAAGGATAACATGGGCTCCATACTTCAGATAGGGTTGGACTAGCCCCAGATTTACTCTTGTGATTCTGTGATTTTCTAAGATAATGGGTGAAAAGTACTTTGTCCCTCTAAATTACTATAAAGGTGGCAGCTGCTTTTATTTTGAACAACCAAATTATCCAAATCTTAACATTGTCAACTTTTATTCTAAAGTACCTACCCCTTTCTCACCTGCCCCCCCGCCCCCAGCCTGTGGACCTGCTTCAGTCTTGTTCTGAAGAAAGGCGCCCCTCAGTCCCTCCCTCGCTCCGACCACTAGGCACCAGTCCTGGCCCTGCAGCCTCTAGTGTCTCTGTGTTTGACCCCCATTGAGTACAAAACAGCTTTGACACCGTTCAGCTGAAGGTGGCTTGGGGTTGTCTCCTGTTGAAAGGACAAAGAACGCTGTGAGCATGCCAAGTACAGAGGGGTTACTTTAATGAAGAGATTCCAAAATCCAAGCTGTGGGGCTCTGCTTTGAGTGGGGTGGGAAGAATAGGGCTGGGATTTCTCAGCCAGCAGCTCCTGGGGAGAGAAGCTTGGTTTCTGCGCTTGTTTTCGGGACCTGGGGTGCCCGTGAACATGGCACAGTTTAATGGGCCGGTGCTCCCTGCTCTGATGTCCCTCTTCTGGGAAATTGCGTTTTTACAAGCTACAGTGGCACTTAGAAACCTCTTTTCTACGTAAAATGCAGGAACGTTAGACCAGTCTGGAGGAAAATGGATAAAAACAGGCATGGGAATGAGTTAGCTAACTACCAAGCAAATGGGAAGAAGGGGCCAAGCAAAGAGAGAGTTTGGGGAGGCCATTGACAGCAAATCCTCCTGTCCACAGGGTTTAGCAACAATAGAACTTTATTTTCCCTCCAAATGCTTTCCACATTTCACATGATTTCTCATGTCCAGCCTGTCAGGTGGAAGCGGTTTTCACATCCCTATTTGGCAGACAGACAGACAGACAGACAGACAGACAGACAGACACACACACACACACACACACACACACACACACACACACACACACACCCCTGCCCTGAGCAAAGACAGCAGCAACAGCAGAGAAGGGGTGGGGGTGGTGGGCGGTGGGGGCAGGGGAGAGCACCCCATAGCACCTCGCAGCCTCATGGTGTTCTGCTACTATCCACAGGTATTGCACCAGACATTCCCACAGCACACCTTCCTGATGAATGGCCTGATCCACGGAGTCAAGGTAAGGTTCAGCTGGCACCTGGCATGTCCACTCTCACTTTGCATTGGAGGCCCCTCCCCTGGTTCCCGTTACGGCCCAGGGACAGGACCTGGCAGCGACCCCAGGCCACTTGTCCCCCACCTGCCACTAGGCCATGGCCTGTGCCCAGCTCCAAGTGGACAAACGCACATTGCCACAGTAACAATGGGCCCCTTTGTGTAGGGGATTCAAGGCTGAGCAAGGGAATCATGGGGACAGCACTCTCCTTCCCCACATCTGATGGACAGAGCCAAAAGGGTGGGAGAAGGAAGCCAAATTCAGCATAAGGGGTCTGGTTTCTCTAATAAAATAATTAGCATTTATGTAGTATATTAAGGTTTGCAAAGTGTTTTACAAATATTTCATTTGATTCTCACAGCAACCCTGGGAGGTAGGTGCTAACATGATCCCCATTTTACAGATGAGGAGACTGAGGCAGACAGAAGTGAAGTAACTTGCCTAGGGTCACACAGCTAGTGAGTGTTTGAGGCAGGATTTGAATTCAGGTCTTCTTGATTCCAGGTTTGGCACTCTCTCCATGGAACCCCCAAGCTTCCTTTACAGTTTCCTTGTTCTGTCAGAACCTACTGGCCGCCTAGATGTAGGTTTTCCGGTAGCCTCTGGGTAGAAGAACTCTTGAGAGATGGGACAGGAGCCCTGCTGGCAGTGGCTGCTCTCTGAGTGGGGGGCCAGAGACCTGAGGGCTGGTTTTCTAGCCAGGACCAGAATGAGGAGTGGGGCGGAGGGGGTGGCCAGGAAGCAACTTGGACACAATAGTTGTTCCTCATGGAGAAGTGACGTGGGCAGCCGCTTCTGCCCTTTTCTCTCCTCTGCTGATTTTTGTGTGGTTTGGAGGCCCAAACACCATTGGCTCTTCCTCCATCAGTTCCAAGGAGGCAGAGGAAAAAGAAACAATTCGTTTTCTGTTCACTCCTGTGATGCAGTTTTGAACCTTGTGGGCACCAGACTCTGATACACTCAGCTGATCCCTCTGCATCTGTAGCCTCACGCCAGCAGAGGTTCAGAGGCCTCGAGCCTGTCAGACCTGGCGCCTTCGGGGCTGTGCTCAGGCCAGCAGGCCGCTTGGGGACGAGGCCAGCAGCTGCACATACTGTACGAGGCCTGAAAAGCCACAGAAGCTGGGTCAGTGTTGACAGGAGAAGGTGTACTTGGAAGTCTTCTATTGCTGGGTTCCCCATTCTGCCCAGGGGCCCTTGTTCTTAGCGATCCTTCCCCTGCCCAGAGAACAGGTAGAGCAGCTTGCCGGCGTGTGCTCTGGCTGCCCACAGGCCCCCAGCCTCATGGAAGCCCCTGCTGCTTCTCCCACGTCTTCCAGGGTCTGCTGTCTTTCCTCAGTGCCCCTCTCATTGGCGCCCTCTCAGACGTCTGGGGCAGAAAGTCATTCCTCCTCTTGACGGTGTTCTTCACCTGTGCGCCCATTCCCCTCATGAAGATCAGCCCATGGTGAGTGAGGGGTTGTAGTGTGGTGGCGGCTCAGGGAGGGTGGCAGCTCAGCTTCCCCCTTCCGTCCCCTTTGGCAGGGGCAGACAGGGAAGAAGCCCCGGCCAGCCCTCGAGCTCTTCCGTCTCCTGGTAGTCTCCTGGCCTCTGCTAGATGGCAGGCTCCCTGAGGGAAGGGACGGTGTCTTAATTATCTCTGTATGCTGCAGTGCAGAGCACAGGGCTCTGCAGAGAGAAAGCACGCAGCTAGGGCCTGAACAGCAGAAATCCAGGTGCAGTGAGATTTGCTCAGGGGAAGAGCCGACCAGGACAGGAAGGGACATGGGGCACGCGGCCAGTCACCTCCCCGGCGGAGGGGCTGTGACAAGGCAACCCTTCTCCTTCAGGTGGTACTTCGCAGTCATTTCCATGTCGGGCGTCTTTGCAGTCACCTTCTCCGTCATCTTTGCCTACGTGGCTGACATCACACAGGAACACGAGCGGAGCACAGCGTATGGCCTGGTAAGCCAGCCCCCCTCTGGAGACGGAAGCCTTGTCTTCTGACTGCTCGGAGATGGGGCCCTGGACTTTGTGGTGCTCCCCCAGCCGTCCTGCCACCCTCGGCTGTCCACAGAGGCTCAGAGAGGAGGTGGCACTTGAGTGCCAGGCCTGGGACTGCTGCCCTGCTGCCTCCTGGAGACCTCCATTACACTATGCCCTACACTCCTTCCTCTCTGAACCTCTGTTTCCTCCCTTCCCTTTTAATTCACTGGCCAACTTTGCAGAATAGCAGCTGGGAATCTCTTTTTTTCTGTCCCAAACCTGCAACTGCTCACTTGCTTTTTTCTGTTATTGGCACCACCATCCTGCCAGTCACCCTGGCTCCAAAGCTGGCATCTGCCTTTCTTCCCACGTCCTTCCAGTTCTTCATCCTCAAATGTTTCACGTCCCAGGCCCCTCCTGTGTATTCAGCAGCCTGATTCAAAGCTCCCATCGCAGGGCGGCTAGGTGGCACAGTGGATAGAGCGCCAGCCCTGAAGTCAGGAGGACCTGAGTTCAAATCTGGCCTCAGACCAAACACTTGACACTTACTAGCTGTGTGACCCTGGGCAAGTCACTTAACCCCAATTGCCTAAAAAAAAAAAAAACCAAAGCTCCCATTGCTTTGTGCCTGCACAGAGCAGTAGCTTCCTCCTCAGCCCCCTGACCTTCATCTTCCTCTCTAGACAGTCTGTCTTCCATAGCCCACCCGATTCATCTTTCTGATGCTTCTCCATTGACGTGGTCGCCTCTCAGTCCGGGGCCTCATCGCCTCTCTCTTGGGTTATTGCACTAGCTTCTTAATTGGTCCTCTCTCCAATCCATGCTCCGAGTAGCTGCCAGACTGCTACTCCTGAATGCAGGTCTGGCTCCCTTTTTCTTCTGACATCACATATCTCCTCATCTCAGTTTGGCTCCAGCCTCTCTATCCAGGTCGATTTCACATTATTCTCCCTCATGATGCTCCATGTTTTCACTGACCTGTCCTTGTTCCTGTATGGAACATGCCGTCTCCCGTGCCTGGGACTGTGTGAGTCATCCCCCTCACTAGAGTGCTTCCCTTTCTCCCCTCTGCCTTCAGTGTCAGCTCCTAGCAGGCTTTTCTGGTTCCCCCTCTCTGCACCTCGTGTTCTCCCCATCCTCCCCAGGACCACTTCGTATTTATGTAAATATGGTCTTCGCCCCCAGAACAAGCCTCCTGTACCCTGGCACGTGCTGTCCCTCTACTGGTCTGTCCCTACTCGTGTATATGTGATGGCATTTAAACACACATATAGCTGTGTGTGGATGGGTGGATGTGTAGCCGCCCCTCGGGGCCCAGGCCCAAGGCTGTCTTCTCCATAGCACGTTCTCTGATCCCTCTGGCTGCGAGTGGTGTCCCCCCTGAGCCTGTCTAACACTCGGTGGCTCCATTCTGCTTACCAGAGCTGGTGACGAGCCTGCCTCTCACTGACCTCTGTGACACATCCCCACCCCTCCAGCTAGTCGTCCCTGTTTGTGTCTCACCCATAGCACGAGACCCTTCATGGAATTGCCCAGGGAAGGTAAAAGGAATGAAGGGCTGAGTGAAATGAGCACAGACCCCAAAATAGCTGACCGTGTTGTCCCACTGTGGATGTTGACCAAAGCTCCTCTTGGAGAGAACTTTCTGTCTCTGAAGGTGCCGTGGTGCAAGCTGTAAACGAGGGAGGGGCCGGGTGAGCAATTCCTTTGTTCCTCATCCCTCAGGTCTCTGCTACCTTCGCTGCCAGTCTGGTGACAAGCCCAGCCATCGGTGCCTACCTGTCCCGTGCCTACGGTGACACGCTGGTGGTGGTGCTGGCCTCAGGAGTGGCTCTGCTGGACATTGGCTTCATCTTACTGGCTGTGCCCGAGTCCCTGCCTGAGGAGATGCGGCCTGTGTCTTGGGGAGCTCCCATCTCCTGGGAGCAGGCTGACCCCTTTGCTGTAAGTGTCCCCAGCCCTCACCTGTCCCCCTCCTCTTCTCTCTCCTTGGAGCTGTCTGATGAACAATGTGGGATGACATCTTAGTGGGTGCTTCGTTAGGTGATGCTGGGTACTAGAGGGCTAGCTTAGTACCTGCTCCCTGGCCCCACGTCCTTCAGAGCTTTTTGGAGAACAGTCTTACTCAAAGGAGTGCCTCTGATGGAAATTTCAAGGCCTGGGATAGGCCAGGAGGAAGGAGACGGCTGTCGCTGATTTGTTGTGGTTGGTGGCGGTGGTTTTTATCGCCCTTCAGATCACACCACTCCATGCTGTCCTGCAGGGCAGACTTCCTTGTCTAACTCTCTCAACCTCCACCTCGTCTCCCTCAGTCTCTTCGGAAAGTGGGCCAGGACTCTACCGTGCTGCTCATCTGCATCACTGTCTTCCTCTCCTACCTGCCAGAAGCTGGCCAGTACTCCAGCTTTTTTCTCTACCTGCGCCAGGTGAGTGAGCCCAAGGCCAGAAGCTGGAGCCACACTCCTTGGGCAGATCCAGCCACGAGCACACGTGCAAACATTGGAGGGTCCTCTGAGCAGCAGCCTGGACTGGAAAGGGCGGGTCCAGGAGACCAGGTGCATCACTCACTTGCCCTGCAGGGATTTCTTCCAATAGAGAGTGGCTTGGAGTCAGGGGGAGAGGCTCCCAGCCTGTCTTTAATGGGGCTTCTTGGGAGAGGTGAGTCAGACACAGGCTTCGCCACCTGGGCAGACCCAGAACACGAGCTGGGGGGGATCCATCAAGGCCCATCTGTGAAGAATTAAGCAACAGCCTCCCCATGCAGGATGGGCTCAGCAGCAGCGGGCCTCGGCCTCTAGAAGTCAGGGAAACGCAGTCCAGAAGGAGCCCCGGCACACTGGTACGGGTCCGTGCCCCTCTTATGGAGGAGGTGTCCGTCCCAGAGAGGTCAGGCACTTAATAAGTGGCAGGAAAGGACGGGGACCTCTTACCATTCTAGGTTCCGACTCTCGACTATCACATAAGCCCCAACGCTTCATCCCTTCTTTGGTCTTTGCAGGTAATTAGCTTTTCCTCAGAAACAGTGGCTGCCTTCATCGGTGTGGTGGGGATTCTGTCCATCCTGGCTCAGGTGAGGGTCCTTCCCCATCCCCGTCCTATCCCTCTCTCTCCCACCACCCACCACCCCACCCTCGGCCCCATTCCTGCCCCGGACGGGTGCGTTCTCTTTCTCCTTTGGCAACACGGGTCCCCTCCCGTTCCAGACAGTGGTGCTGGGAATCCTGATGCGCTCCATAGGGAACAAGAACACGATCCTGCTTGGCCTGGGGTTCCAGATCCTGCAGCTGGCCTGGTATGGCTTTGGCTCCCAGCCTTGGTAAGAGCCAGCCAGGGGCCCACCGGACCCTCCTCCCTGCCCCTGCACCACGATGCCCCAGGCAGGGACACAGGCCATATCACAGCCTGGGCTGAAGAGGCCCAGGTCCCAGGGGCGTGATCAGCACAATGCAGCTGCCTGAGGACCTCCTGGAGGGACTTCTTTTCCCCCCACATTCCCTTTCATCCACCTCCTAGAAATGAGAGTAGTCCATTCCAACCTGAGCGTCCTCTCTTCCTGGACTCAAGGAACCCTCGCTTTGTTGTCAGGGCACCAGGGGGAGCTGTTGATCCGGTTCTCTGTATACGAGGCTGTTGGGGTCCATGTCAATCCAAGGTCGTGTCTCTTTCCTCCTCCCAGGATGATGTGGGCCGCCGGCGCAGTGGCAGCCATGTCCAGCATCACCTTCCCCGCCATCAGCGCCATGGTGTCCCGGAATGCAGACCCCGACCAGCAAGGTAGCTCTGCCCCTGCCTGGGCCGGGCCTTGGCCCTGACTTTCCTTAGCCCCATTCCCCTCACACCTCCCATGCACACGGTATTCATCTCCCCTTGATGCAGCAGTGGTGCTGGCGGGTTGGCCCAGGTCACCATTTAGCTCAGTCCAGAGGGAAGGCCCCACCCCAGCTGGTCATACAAGCCCTGGTACCTGGAGCATTCAGCCCCCGAACTGAGACTTTTCCCTGCCCTTGCCTGGCAAGGGTGATACCCGCTCATGGCAGGGAGTGTCAGAAAAGGATACGGATTCTCCTTTCCCTGCCCTCCCCCCAGGTGTTGTTCAGGGGATGATCACTGGCATCCGGGGGCTGTGCAACGGTCTGGGGCCGGCTCTGTATGGCTTCGTCTTCTATCTGTTTCACGTGGAGCTGAATGAGATGGTGGCAGTAGAGAGCCTGGAGAAGGCCACCAAGCCCAACATGGCCAACCCTTCGGATGAGGTGAGGGCCGCCCTCCTTTCCCCCATGCCTCTCCCCCAGCCTGGGCCCTTGGACTTAACCCCTTCCTGTCCTTTGCCCTTCTAGCGGAGCATCATCCCGGGCCCCCCTTTCCTCTTCGGCGCGTGCTCAGTCCTGCTGTCCCTCCTAGTGGCCTTGTTCATCCCTGAGCACAATCATCTCACACTGCGGTCCGGCAGCCACAAGAAACACAGCAACGGTGCCCAGAGCCACACGCACAGCCCCCAGGCGGGCGGCTTGGATGGGAAGGAGCCCCTCCTGGTGGACAGCAGTGTATGATGGGAAGGAGAGGCAAGGATCTCCACCTCCACCCACCCCACCCCCATCAACAGCAGTGTGCTCGATGTGGACCGGACCGGGGGGGAGGGGAGGTGGTCACGGACTGTACCACTAACAGCAAATGAGAGGACCTAGAAGCCTGAGGCCCTTCGAGCCAAACACAGATAAACACAGCTAGCCACAAACTCGGTCCCAATGGTGCAAAACTAGGCTTCCGTCATCCACCCAGGGCTGGAAAATGGGAAGGAGTTGGGACAACACCGTGTGAAGATGGGCAGGTGTTAAACTCACCTGCTTCCGGGGAACTGTGGACTTGGAAATGGAACCTGCCAATTCCTCATCTTGCCGGGGAGCAAGAGAGTGGCCGAATCTCAGGCCCTGGCCCGCTCCCCTCCCAGGCTCTGACAGCCACCACAGTCATGGGAGGCCCTTCTGATCCCCCTCTGGGGGATCCATTCCTGGTCCACTGGGTGAGGCGGGGAGGATGGAAAGAGTGTCCTGGGAGTGAAGTACCCAGAATGGGAGATAGCACCCACCCCCACAAGCAGGACAGGAGCCCGGCAACAGCAACTCCACTGTTGGCTCTAGCCAGAACTGACCCTCCCTACCCCATGGCCCCCCTCTTCCTTGGCACCCAACCAAATGTGCCTGCCCAGCCCAGGAAACTTGGGCAGGGAGAGCCTTGCTGACGGTATCATAGAAGGCAAAGAATTTCCCACACCTTTGTGAGGGATCTCAGTGTGCCCCCCAGCAACCCAAGATGGATGACCCCCTTCCTCAGGCCCATCTGGCCTGCAGTAGCCTGAATGCCAAGTTTGTCATGGTTCAGAACTGGAGGAGAGGGGGAAGGCTCAGGGATGTCCAGGTACACAAAGGGGCTGGCACCTTCTTACTGGTTTGCACCCATCTATTGGCCCTTCCCCAGATCCCCCAGCAGCTGCCGTCCAAAAAGCACCAGAGCTTGTGGGTCATTGGAATAACTGGCTGCTGGGGCCTCTCCTGAAAAGTGCTCCAGGCGCTGGAGCTCTGGGGAGAGAAGCCTGGCCAGTAACCTGTCGTCCCCCCAGGTTCCACCCCTAGAGGTCCAGGAAGGGGTAGAGGAGGAAAGGCCAAGATGTCTCCTGGCCTGCGGTCACTTGAGAGAGCAGCAGTGGCCTCTGGGATCCACAAAACTTAGCTCAGAAGGCCACAACAAAGCACCTTTAAGGAAGGTCAGGCTGCCCATGTGATGCTAGAAAAGCAACCAGAAGGCGGGAGTGCTGATAATTATCTGAAACAGCAGGAGTGACCCAGCCTTGACCCCCTCGGGTGGACTGTTTTCCCCATGTTGTTTCTGACTTGATTCCTAGTGCCCCTCGCCCACTAGGACCATTCACTTGGCCTGGCTTCCTGATGTGGGGAAGGCCCCCAGTGCAGGGCCAGCTGCCATCAGTGCTCTGGCTTTGTCCCTCTCTTGTGGCCCCTGGAGGTCAGTTACAGGTCTGGTGCCGTCAGCCCTGAAGCAGCCCGTGACTTCGCCATCCAGCGAGGCACTGATGGGTTCCTGGGTCGCCCTCCTCCCCTCCGCCCCAGCATCCCCTGAGCCTCCCTGACCCTCTGTGCCTGCCTCGGACATGTTTGCCCCCAGGAGGGGGTCCCAAGCTCTCCCACCATTCTCAGCCAAGCCTTTAGTTTACATATAGAGCAGTGTGAGATCCCTGGCCTACACCTCTTGTAAGGTAGAAAGTCTTTAAGTGGATCTCTAACTGGCCCCTCACCATTTGTCCAAGAGCCTCCAGAAGTGAGGGATTCCTTTGGGGGTTCTGTGTGTCTGGCAGGGCTGGTGGCCAGAGGTGCCTTGCCCTCAGCCTGCCCATACGTGTCCTCCTTCATCCAGGACCTACGATGCTGGAGCCAGAGCCATCCAGACATTGTGGAAATGAAGCCACCCTGGGGGAGGAGGTGGGGGTGGCTTTCACATTTTGCACTTTAGTCTGCAGGGACAGGTGGACCCCAAAGTCCCGTTTCTCATTCCTCTTCTCCTTGCAGCCCCAGGCTCAATGACCCCAGGCCTCATTTGGGTGACCCCACCAGGGGTTTATTTCCAACAGTCAACCCATCAGAAAAGCAAAGTCTCAGTCATCCTTTCAAAACAATGTCACAGAAGACCACTTCAAAAAAATTTTTTTTTTTTTAACACCTTCAAGTTAACAGACCAACTTGGGTTATCAGGCTGGGAGCCCCTAGGTAGCAGAGAAGTCTCCTGTGGTATTTTGGCATTTCCAGGAACAGAACTATGAGCAGGGACAGCTGATCCCCTTACCCCAAAAACCACAAGGCCCCCTCCCCTTTGCAGGGTCCTACCAGGTTGCTCCCACTAACTTGCCCCCCCCCCAAAAAAAAACCCTTGAAGCATGTGACGTCCCAGATTTCTTGCCTTTCCCCTAGTCCCTAAAAGGCATTAGTTGCCAGGGCTGCATGAAGACCCTTGTGAGTCTGATGGGCCCATGTGTCCTGGAAGCTGTCCAGAGACCACTATTTCTGCCAATTTGATGTTTCACTTTGGGAGAAGTGTGAACCAATTTTTTGAAAGGGCATTTCCCACGCCCCAATGCAGCTTTTCTGTTCAGCCAGGCGGTGCACTGTTAGAATGTTGGCACATTCTCCAGGTCAGCTCTCCAGCAGGGCAGCCCAGGCCAGCTGTCCCAGGGATGTCCCTCTGGCCACGGTGCCCCCTGGTTTGGGACCAAAGGCAGCCCCTTCTTCTGGCCCTGCCATCCTCTCTCTTCTGGTTTAACATGCCTTCCTCAGGGACCTAGCTGGGGGATTTGAAGGAGTCCCAGTGGACCTGCTGTTGCTTAAAACAAATGTGGAAATAGTGATGCGAGTTGGCTGTTGGCAAGTAGCCGCGATTTGTCCTGCTTGGTCTTCCTCCCTCCAGGACCCCCCCCCCCCAATTCCCTACTGTGGCCAACCTTCTATGTTTTCATTAAGAAGGGACCAGTCCTATACTTTGGAATTGATGACATTGACCCCCTGGTGTGTTGTTTTGTATTTTTAGCTGATAACTCAGTACATTTAGTTGATTTCAGATTGTGTTTAGATTCAGGTGCCCCCCTCCTGGTTATTTATTAAACAGCTGCTTTCTTCTTGCAAAGGAAAAAAACAAGTCTCTGCCTTTGTGTTTCTGCCTGGTGAGATATTTGTTTAGTGCTGACCCATCTAACTCCTGAGGTGCCTTCCCATCTCTGATGCTCCTGTCATCAGCGAGGCCAGCTTGGACAAAAAGGCACCTTTTGCCAAATGACCCACCCAGCCCTACAATGAACAGGCACACGCAAGCATGCTTTTTTGAGTCTTCAGCATGATGGTTTCAATGACTCCCAGCATCCTTGGCAAAAACTTGGTTGGCCCTCAGAGTTGGCAGGTCATCGCTAGCTGTCTAAACTCCTTTGTTACCTTCCCTTCCAGGAAAGTTCCATGGGGCTCATCTCATTAGCCTTCAAAGAGGTTTCCGTAAAGGGAAATGCAGCAGTCTTGACTCTTGCCCTCTGCTAGTCATCAGTCATAATTTATACCCAGTGAAAGCCCCTTTCTTGTCTCTCCCAAACCACTGCCCGGCATGACCTACCTGCATGGAATATTTGGCTTCCAGAGTTGATATAGACCTCCACTTTTCTGACCAAGTTCGGCTCAATAAAACCCCAGAAGCAGAGAAGGGACTCCACGGGGGGCCCTCCTCAGGGGGGCCCAACAACAGTCTTTGGAACCCCAGGCCAATGGAAGTTAGGCTCTTGGGTCCTTTCAGACTCCACCGACGCTCAGCAGTCATTCAGCACCTGCAGAGGGGCCAGGCTATTGGCTCCATCCTGTGTACAGCAGAGACTGTAAACTCAATCAGCAGACGAGCATTGTATAAGAAGCTTGGGCTACCAAGACAAAAATGAGCCAGCCCACATTTTTAAGGAGTTGGTGTTCAATCAGAAGGAACAAATGTACCCATATCAACACAGACAATTAGATATGCCTACATATAGGTATGTTCGAAATAGATATGGGGAGACCAGGCACTACTGTCTCTGGGGATCAGGAAAGGCTCAATATACAATAAGGAGGTGGTGCTGGAACCAAGTCCTGAAGACTAATGGGGGGCAGCTAGGTGGTGAAGTGGATAGAGCTCTGACCCTGGAGTCAGGAAGACCTGAGTTCAAATTTGATCTCAGATACTTAGCAGTTATGTAACCCTGGGCAAGTCACTTAACCCCAATAGAAAGAAAGAAAGCCCAGAGCCTAGAGATGTAGGGTCCTGAATTTATTGAGTAGGGGAATGACATAGTCAGACCTATGATTCAAGAATGTCACTTTGGAGAGCCAAGATGGCAGAGAAAAGCCATGGACTTACCTGAGCTCTCCCCTAACCCTGCCAAACACATTTAAATAATGCCCTAAACAAATTCCACAAAAAGATGGAGTGAAATAATTTTCCAGCTGAAGACAACTTAGAAGGTCAGCAGGAAAAGTCTGTTGCTCCAGGGTGAGAGTGAAGCACAGTCCGGGGCAGGCCGGGGCAGGCCGAGGCAGCGCAGACCGGGCCCCAGCAAACCAGGAGCAGATGTTGGGAGCCACTGAACGGGCAGTGGCAGAGGCTACTTTCAGAGCTTTCAGCCCACAGACAGTAAGGGGTTCAAACAACTGGTCAGGAGGAGATTACAGGGGTTTTTTGCTGGCACTGGGGACAGGACTCTATTGCTTTGCCCATACTCTGGGTCACAGTCCTGGGTGGCAGTCCCAGGGCGAAGAGGAGCACTAGCACCCCAGAGCTTGGGGTTGCAGTGGAGTAAAGACCCTCGTCACAGTTCCTGGGCAGAAACGAGTGCTCACAGGCCAGGAGAACAATAAAAACACCTTCCTTAGATTATACCACCTTGGAAGAACTGAAAACTTTCAGGTCCCTAGAAGTGTCTCTGAAAACAGTTGTGCATGAGCCATGAAGCTTGGGACAATGAGCCCTCTGGAAGCAGAGCCCCACTTTAGCAAAGAGTTAAAAGTCAAGAAATTAGGCTGGCAAATGAGCAAACAACAGAAAAAAAATTCTGACCATAGAAAGTTACTATGGTGACAAGGAAGATCAAAACACACACACTCCAAAGAAGACAACCAAGTCAGAACTCCTACATCTAAATCCTCAAAGAAAAATATGAATAGGTATCAGGCCATGGAAGAGCTCAAAAAGGATTCTGAAAATCAAGTAAGAGATGCAGAGGAAAAATTGGGAACAGAAATGAGAGTGATGCAAGAAAATCATGAAAAAAAGAGTCAACAGCTTGGTAAAAATACGGAAGAAAATAACACCTTAAAAACAGACTAGGTGAAATGGTAAAAGGTACAAAAATTCAGTGAGGAGAAGAATGCTTTGAAAAGCAGAATTGGCCAAATAGAAAAAGACATACAAAAGTTCACTGATGAGAAGAACTCCTGAAAAGAAGAATTGGCCAAATGGAAAAAGAAGCACAAAAATTCACTGAAGAAAAAAAAAACTCCTTAAAAAGTAGGATTGGATTCCCCAAATTATTTTATAGAGCTAGAAAAAATAATAACAATATTCATCTGGAAGAATGAAAGGTCAAGAATATCAAAGGAACTAATGAAAATAATGCAAGGGAAGGTGGCCTAGCTGTACCAGGTCTCAAACTGTTTTATAAAGCAGCAGTCATCAAAATTATTTGGTACTGGCTAAGAAATAGAGTGGTGGATCAGTGGAACAGGTTGGGTACACAAGACACAGTAGTCAATGACTATAGTAATCTACTGTTTGATAAACCCAAAGACTCCAGCTTCTGGGATAAGAACTCACTTGACAAAAACTGCTGGGAAAACTGGAAAATGATAAAAATGTGTACATGATACGTAAAGGATGATACCATAAGCAAATTAGGAGAGCAAGGAATAGTTTATGTCATATCTATGGGGAGGGGAAGAATTTATGACCAAACAAAAGATAGAGAACATTTTGGAATGCAAATGAATAATTTTAATTACATTATATTAAAAAGTTTTTGCACAAAGCCAATGCAACCAAGATCAGAAGGAAATCAGAAAGCTAGGAAACAGTTTTTTACAGCTAATATCTCTGATAAAGGCCTCATTTCTAAAATACAGAGAGAAGTGAGTTAAATTTATAAGAATACAAGTCAATTGATAAATGGCCAAAGGATATGAACAGGTAGTTTTCAGATGAAGAAATCAAAGCTATCTATAGTCATATGAAAAAATGCTCTAAACCACTATTGATTAAAGAAATTCAAATTAAAACAACTCTGAGATACCACCTCACACCTATCAAATTGGCTAATATGACCACAAAGGAAAATGATAAAATGTTGGAGAAGATGTGGGAAAAGTAGAACACTAATGCATTGTTGGTGGAGTTGTGAACTGATCCAAACATTCTGGAGAGCAATTTGGAACTATGCCCAAAGGGCTATAACACTGTGCATACCCTTTGATCCAGCAATACCACTACTAGCTCTGTATCCCAAAAAGATCATAAAAAAGGGAAAAGGACCCACAGGTACAGAAATATTCATAGCAGCTCTTTTTTCGTGGTGGCAAAAAATTAGAAATTGAGGGGATGCCCATCAATTGAGGAATGGCTGAACAAGTTGTGGTATATGAATGTAATGGAATATCACTGTGCTCTAAGAAATGATGAGCAGGTGGACTGAAGAAAAACCTGGAAAGGTTTGTATGGACTGATGCTGAGGGAAGTGAGCAGAACCAGGAGAATGTTGTACACAGTAACAGCCATGGTGTAAGATGACTAACTTTGATAGACTTAGCTCTTCTCAGCAATGCAAGGATCTAAGACAATTCCAAAAGACTCATGATAAATAATGCTATCAACACCCATAAAAAGAACTATGGAGTCTGAATGCAGATCGAAACATACTATTTACTCTTTTTTTTCCTTCATTTTTTCTTTCCCATGGTTTTTTCCTTTTTGTTCTGATTCTTCTTTCACAACATGACTAATGTGGAAATATGTTTAATATGATTGTAAATGTATAACATATCAGATTACTTGCTATCTTGGGGAAGAGAGAGGGGAGGGAGGGAGAACTCAAAATCTTATAAAAGTGAATGTTATTTTATTTATTTATTTAGGCAATTGGGGTTAAAAGTGAATGTTGAAAATTATCTTTACATGTAATCAGAAAAAATAAAATACTATTAAGTGGAAAAAATGTTAAAAAAAAAATTTTTTTAAAAGACTATATCAGCAGAAGCTATTGTTCAGAGCCAAGACTAGAAAATAAAGTGAGTGACCAAACTGAAAAAAGTAGAATTGGCCAAGTGGAAAAGGAGAT